TAGGTCCCTTCCGACCCTTAATCTATGAAACTATGAAATGGGTTGGGGGGGGGGTTAAAGCCTCCCTCAAAGGTACTGGGTGCTGGCTGCAGCCCTGGCTAGGGGCTGGGGCTGGGCTTCGCCAGTGCTCCTGCTGGGACATAAAACCAGAGGGTCTTGGCTAGAATGTCTTGCCTTTCCATTCAGGGTCAGCCGTGTTGCCATGTTTGGGGCCAGGAAGAAATTTTACCCATGGTCTGATTGGTACAGACTGTGGGGGTGTTGTCTTCCTCTGCAGCAGGGGATACAGCCCTTTTCCTGGGATCTCTTGAGCATATATTAACAACCTTTTACAGAAGCAGGAAGTTGGCTGCCATGGTCCCCCTGCTTTCCCTGGGGCAGGTTAGGATGTTGTGTGTTGTATTGTGTTAGGGTTGACATCAGTTTTACTAAGAGGTAAGATGATGGTTGTATGGGATGGTTTATGAAGGGCTGATCTTGCCTCAGGCAGGGAGCTGGACTAGATGACCTCTGGAGATCCCTTCCAGCCCTACTTCTCTATGACTCTAATGATACTTGTGAACAAGACTCCTGACACAAAACTAAGTTGGTAGGGTATGATGAAAGTTCAGCCAGAGATGGGGGCATTTTGAAACAACCTTTCCAACCTCTCTTATGCCTTGGGGGAAAAAGAAACTTTAGTTAGGGAAAAAAAGCATTAGTTAGGGCCAGACTATGAACTTTGCCTCTATGTGTAACTCCCATAAACATCACTGCAGGGTCACAAATGTAGCTCAAGAGTAGATGAGGACCTTTCTACCTTGCAAGACCCATGTAAACCGTTTATTTGTCCATCTTCAGCCTGTTCTGCTGTGCTCCTGGGCAAATCTGTTCTGTCTTTTATAGTTTCATAGTTTCTAGGGTCGGAAGGGACCTGAGCAGATCATCTAGTCCGACCCCCTGCCATGGCAGGAAGAGCACTGGGGTCAAATGACCCCAGTAAGGTGGTCATCCAACCTCCTCTTAAAAACCCCCAGGGTGGGAGCCTGCACCACCTCACATGGAAGCTGGTTCCAGACCCTAGCCGCCCTGACCGTGAAGTAGCGCCTCCTGATGTCCAACTTAAACCTTCCCTC